TGTGATGGTGTGGGTTCCTCTACTCAACGTGCATAACACTGGTTACTAAAGATAATATATATTGACAGATATAATAGCATTACAGACACTGTACTCAAGGCGGGCCATAGTGGCGTCGGGACTGTGGTGGTGGTCCGGGACTAGGATGCACCTCCCTGGCAGGCTGGAGTCGACTGGCTGACGAGAGCCCATGGTCAGGCTTACTTATAGTGCGCTCGCCCCACCCGGCCAGTGTGCACATGCACTTGGCCGTCGGGGCATCGCGACTCGGTCGCGCCGTACGTGGCGCGGAGCCCGGAAGGTGAGTGGGAACCCACGCGAGAGAGGGCAAGGCTGAGTCCTGCTTGCACTATCGAGACGAGCCGAGAGGGCACCCGAATCCCAACACCACAACCATCCCCCCCTTAACAGAGCCGAAGGCTACGCAGGAGCCGAGGCTACAAAGAAAACAGACGGACGGGTGCCGAAATAGAGTACCGCAAAGGTTAAAACAGAGACATAAACGGACAATAATGGCAAGTAAAGCAGAGGGAAAATAGAAAATTACAATTCGCTTGGTGAATTCGGAAGAAAATCAATCATAGCACATCAGAAGGGAACTGACAACCTGCAGCATAGGCTCCTCACACTCTGAGGGCGCGGCGCAATCGGGTGCGCCTGTAGACAAGGCGGTAGAAGAACGGGGTGAAAACAACGAACAGTAAGGAGGAGCTGCCCGACAGGTGGCAGTAGTGGGATACGAACCCACAAACAGAGAGACTGGTGAACAAGGACACGTACAAATTTTTAACGAGCGGAACAACGGAGCGGAGCAAAAGTAGCTTACAAAGCGACTGAAAACAATTGATATTCAGACACGCACAATGGGCGGTCGACAGAGGATACGAGAAAGGAGCAAGTCGGAAAGTAAAGCAGGCAATTATCAAATACCTAGGATATCGAACCCCACACGGGGACGAGAAAATGTAGCTCAGAACACAATGGAGGCATACAGGGAAACTTAGAAACTACAGAGAACGCCAACGCGTACAACACACAAGACGCAAACATAAGAGGTCACAGGTTACGCGACTAAAATTAAGTGAGGAGTCCTGGAAACCCGGGCCGTACAACGTGAGGTCAAGAGGACGTGGGGACGTCCGGGACACACAGTCGGGAGAAGGGCAGGTCGAGCCAGCCGATGCCGCGGGACCGATCCATGGGAGAGACTCGCGAAAAAGGGGGGTGCGGTGATCAGCCGCGAGGACAGAGTGGCGCAGGGGCCCGCCAGAGGAGCCTGCCGCGGCCCGCGCGGGGCCGGGCCAGCCGGGGAGCCGCGCGGGTTGCTTGCGGCTACACTGGGCGGACGCCTGCAACAGAGAGAAAAAGGACGAGGCAGAACACGAGTCTGGACCAGCTCCCGGCGTCGGAACGCCAAGGGGCCAAAATTAAAATCAGACCAAGGGGGTAGGACACGTACGCTTAGCGAGGCGGGGCCTCGATGGAGACGCTGGGGCGGCGACGGGGAGGGCGACGTGCTGCGACGGGCTGCGAGGGGCCTCCCTGAGGAGGCATCAGCAGCGAGCCAGGGCACCCCGGCGCCGCAAGGAGGTAGTCAGCGATGGTGAACGCGGCCGACGAAGGGCGGCGGCGGCCAGCGGCCGGCGCAAGGCGCGGCTAGCAGCGCGGCCCGCGGAGGCCGGGAGGGGCCGCCGGGGACGGGTGAGAGCGCAGCCGCTGGCCTGACAGGCCGAAGAGGAGTCGCCCAGGGTGGAGGATGGCGGATACTGAGGCCAGGACGCCGGGCGACGAAGGAGGGCCGCCGTCGACGGGTCGTCGCCAGAGGCGACGTGCGCGACGCGGTCAGTCGACCCGGCGGGGCCGCGGTGAGGTCCGAGGTGGGACCCGCGCGGCCCGGACGAGGCGGACCCCTGGGCGGACTCTGGGCGACGGCGTAGCGTAGGCAGATGATGTGAGGCGGCGTTCCGGGCGGGGACGCCGCGGCGGCGATGACGAGCAGGGCGTCGTGTCCTCCAGGACAGTGGCAGGTGGCGATACCGCAGCGCATGGCGCAGCGTATGCGAATCGTGCCAGGACATGGGAAACTTACAGGCATAACGGCTCGACCGGGAGGGAGCTAGGTAAGGCGGGGCCATCGGGTCGGTTCCAGGACAGGCAATAACTACTTATGGGTCACTAGGCGACCAACATCGTGCAACGCTTAAGTTGCTTACACACGAAGAGACACATCGGTCCAAGGGCGAGGTTGCCCAACCAGAGAGCACTCCCAAACTGGAGATAACGGTCCAGGAGGAGTAGCAGATGAGAGACAGTAGCGATATGGCAATTACGGTGCACCGAACTGAAGCCACGCACGACCCGCAGGCCGGTGGAGAGAACAGAGCGTTAATTACGGCTCAGAGCATCACCGCCTCGTGTCATGCACCTTACATGAAGTGAGAGGCAAGTGAGAACAATTATGAGTTGCCATAGGAAGGGCAATGAACGTAATACGTAAACTACAAGGCTACGAGTGGGAGTGCCATCGGACATTGGACGGATGTGAGAAACTGAGCAGGGTCTGGCGTACCGTGTCGGAGGTCATACCTAGACGTCCGAACCCCTCCTACCGGGACAGACCGGTACCGTACCCACGCGTACGTGGCAAGGGCGCCGGAGGGCTGCGTGCCCCTCGCTCGCTCTATAGTACAGGGAGCGAGGGCGGGCAAGAGGAAAACCATTCGCGGTCATTTACTGACACTCGAGCGAACTGAGCGCTCTGCGAAAACGTAAGAGACAAGACATAAATGCGCCAAGATCAAGTGAAACCCCATCCCCCCTTTTTAAAGAAAACACAAAAACTGGCCCAGCGGCCAGGAGACACTACGTCGTCTCTTAGAGCAAACTCAAAATGGTAGCGGCAACTCGCCAGAAACCAGAACGCAAAACCAGGGCAAAACCGCGCCGGAAAAAAAGGGACATATGCTGTGCATGAAGACGGAGGCGAAGACCTTCTCGTCGGACAAAAAGCGACGAGGCAGAACGCCAAACGCCAGAAGGGCAAGGGAAGGCCAGTAGGCAGGTCCGCAGAACACAAGACTGGGCGTATGCTTAATGCAATGGCTCCAGCCGCCAAAACGAACGAATAACCAGGACAGTAACCGGCCATCTTTATCAAAACCGGAAACTTGTACCGTCGGGTAGAGACAGACCACAAGGGGTTGTCTACACCGAGAGAAGCTATTAGTCCGTATGACTAAATTCGTGTTGAAGGAAACAAAATTTACGTCCTGAATCCAACGAACGAGTAATCGTTTGAAAAGTGCAAATTTAATCAAGCTTTTGCGAGTAAATGTGATCCGCCAAACCAAAACATAGTCAAAGCGAGTACTCTACATCGACCTGACGAAACCACCCAATCAACACAATCAATATTTGGTCGACGGAAACAAAATTACGCTGGTCTTCTCAACACTAAATGTCGTTGAGTGGAACAACCGGTATTCCGAATGCAACAAGGAGTGTGACGGACACACAAGACCAGCCCGCACCCAAAGGAACGGTAAACCCGTACCGTCAGGTAGGGACAGCCACAGGGGCTGGCGACTAGGCAGAACGGGAGGCAAGCTGAAAAGGGGGCGAAGACACAGGAAGGGCCGAGGAAAAGCAGGATGCCGGGGAGGGCCAGGGATGGCCACAGAAGGGAACGGAGGGCCGGCGGGGCCGGAGGAGGCCAGGGCGCCGGCGCGGCACGGAGCCGCGGTGACGCGGCGCGTGCGCACGGAGCGCCGGGGCGGCGCACACCGGAGGCGCGCCCGCCCGACGGGCGGCCTGCAGGCACGGCGCGGAGCGGACCGCGAGCAAGGACGGCGCGCGGAAAACGGCACGAGGAAAGAACCGGTCGCCGGCCCGAGACAGGACACCGCGGGAACGAAGTGCAACCGACGGGCGCGAGTGCATCGGACGGGAGGTCAGATGCCACAAGGTGCGAAAACCGAAACGGAAAGGCAGCGAGTGAAACGGAACGGAAAGCGGTTAAGGAAGCGAACGGAAAAAAAAAACCTAAACGGAAAAAAAAATACAAAAGGGAAAACCTGCGAGGGAAAACCTCCAGAAAGACAGCCAACGAATCGGACGAGAGAGGCGTGAACGCGTCGGAAGAACCGAAGGTGAACCGAGCGTGAACGATGAACAGCGGAACGCCAGAGGGCCGCCGGGCGAAAAGGACCGAGCCCGGGGCGGGACGATAAGGGCGCGGACGAACGACGCGAGTGCAGGAACGAAACGGAGAGGGGCGTGCGTCGCGGCGCAGGGAATGAATCGGCCAGGCCGGAAAGACGCAGCCCGGCTGCGGTGAGCGGAGGAAAAGGAAAGCTATTTGAGCGCGAACAGTCGATCACGACAACGGGGCG